CCATCCACTTTGTTTAAGTTTATGTATAATACCGTTGTGGTGGCAGACGTCTAAAGAAAATCTGCTGTATTCCATACATCATAATCTATCTTGCCAGCTATATTCTTACCCTCACTACCATTATACTAGGTAGGTATACAATAGTGATAGAGGGGGGGGGGGATACTTTTTTACGCAAAATTAATAATATTTTAGGTCGCAGATTTAAACATAGATAGATACAATACAATTTTTCTAGAGAAAATGTTCGTAGCTAAAAAAGATTTCGTGAAGCTTCTAAATCCCTTGAAACGCGTTGCTAACCCATCTGCTCCGAAAGCTCTAGCTTCTCCTAATCCTGGATTTCCTAGTCCTTCCTATTTCCTTCAACTCCTAAAGCTGCTTGATCCCCTTGTCATTCCGTAGTTTACAGTACTCAAAGAACTCATCCCTTGATTATTTTCCTGATACTTAGAGAGCGCCTTGGTCCCCAAGTCTTTCTCTTCGCTACTTCCTGGTACTCCTAGAGCTCCTTGATCATCAGGTCCTTCTTTTCCCTACTTCCTGGTACTCCTAGAGCTCCTTGATCGCGTGGCCCTTTTCTTCCCTACTTCCTGGTGCTCCTAGAGCTCCTTGATCGCCTGGCCCTTTTCTTCCCTACTTCCTGGTGCTCCTAGAGCTCCTTGATCGCCTGGCCCTTTTCTTCCCTACTTCCTGGTCTCCTTGATCGCCTGGCACTTTTCTTTCCTACTTCCTGGTACTCCTAGAGCTTCTTAATCCCCTGTTCCTTTTCTTCCCTACTTCCTGGTACTCCCTAGAGCTCCTTAATCCCCTGTTCCTTTTCTTTCCTACTTCCTGGTACTCCTAGAGCTGCTTGATCACCTGGTCCTTATCTTCCCTACTTCCTGGTACTCCTAGAGGTCCTTTATCGCCTGGCCCTTTTCTTCCCTACTTCCTGGTACTTCTAGTGCTCCTTGATCCTCTGGTCCTTTTTTCCCTACTTCCTGGTACTCCTAGAGCTCCTTGATCGCCTGGCCCTTTTCTTTCTTTCTTGATGGCCTGGCGCTTTTCTTCCATAATTCCTGGTGCTCCTAAAGCTCCCTAATCCCCTGTTTTTTTTCTTCCCTACTTCCTGGTACTCCTAGAGCTCCTAGATCCTCAGGTCCTTCTCTTCCCTACTTCCTGGTACTCCTAGAGCTCCTTGACCCACTGGGCTTCTGCTCTTGAATCTCCTCCAACCCTGTTTCACTATTTTGTAAAACAAAACCCGAGTTTAGTTTACATCCTTTAGAAAACAAATCTTAGAGAGGGGAACTACGTTGAACGTGGAATAATAAACAAGTGTCTCTCTCTATCAAAAATCAGAATTTAGAAGCGAGGAAGAGATGGGGAAGGAGGGGGAAAGTAAAGCTTTAAGATATTTCTGAATGAAAGTGTTATGGAGAATATTTTCGAAAAATAAATTTTAAAATTCAATTTTCTTGAAAATGTCTTTTGTATGGAAGATTTGTGCGGAGGTGGGATTAGTGAAAATAATGTGAGTTTCTCTGAGAGATATATTTAGTAATTTCTTCAGGTCTTATTCTACTGGAGGGAAGGAATTCAGATATCTTCTCAAACCAACATTCGGAGGTAAACTAATTGTAGAGGCGATGGGTATAGGGGGGGCTTAAAGCTAATCCTAAACCTAAA